CGCATTGATAATGATAGCAAATGATTCGGTCCATTCTTCTTTGAATCCTCTGTTGTCATAAATTCAATTCAGTTTATTTCTATAGTGCCAATTCACAACACAAGCCATCTCAAGGCACTTTACAGTTCAACCAGATGATTCGGTCAAATCCATTCAAAGTTTTCTATCTAAGGAAAACCAGTTGATTGCTTCGACTCATTGACTCAAAGACAATCCCTCACACTAAGCATGCTTGTAGCGACAGTGGAGAGGAAAAGCTCCCTATTAGCAGGAAGAAACCTCCAGCAGAACCAGGCTCAGTGTGAGAGGCCATCTGCCGAGGTCGACTGGGGTTCAAGGAGACAGAAGCAGAGATAGAAAAAGCAGTTGTAAAAGGCAGCCCCGTCCAGGAAACACACAGCCAGGCAGACAAGCTATGAGCCAGCTCCCATGTCAGAGGATGAAGAGAGCACATCCAGCCAGTCATGGTCAGGGAAACAGGACCACACCGGAAAACAGCCCGATCTCCAGCATCTATAAACAAGGGTGTTGATGGAAGCAGCACAGCTGATATTTCTCTCCAGGATGGAGTCACAGCCAAACAGGAACAGACGAGACAAAGCTACTATGAGAAAAAGCAGAGAGAGCATAACGTTAGAGATTGAACTAAAAGATTCTGCAGATTGGGAGAATAGAGATAGAATAAAGCAGAATGATGAAATGGGGGTCCCTATGTCCTCCAGAAGTCTAAGCCTATAGCAGCATAACTATAGAGATAGCTCAGGTTAACCTTAGCCACTCTAACTATAAGCTTTATCAAAAAGGAAAGTTTTAAGCCTAGTCTTAAAAGTAGACAGGGTGTCTGCTAAAAGACCAAAACTGGTATCATCAGGTATCTTCCTTTTTTTCCCCTTCCCCTTTTTTCCCCATCAAAATAAACAAACAAACAAAAAACATCAAATTTTATGCTTTTTTGAAAGGTGTATTTTAATTCTTATGTATGGTGCAGCAAATGAACAACAATCAAATACATATTAGTTCCTCCTGTCATCATCTGCTCCACGTGTTCCTGATAAATAATCTTGAAAGATACCCTTAGCAAAAAGTAGTATACTTGAAGTAAATTCTATTAAGAATACTTAAGAATAAGTTTAGAAAGTATACCGAACAATGTACTTTTAGTGTACTTGAAGTATTACTAAAGTAATACTTCTTCTAACTAAATTGGGACATTTTTAAGTTTACTAAAGTATACTTTATATAAAAGTGTACTTGACTATACTATTGTTTACTATATTGTTTACTAAAGTATACTCAAATACTATTGTTTACTTTATTATTTACTAAAGTACTTTAGTAAACAATAAAGTAAACAATAGTATAGTCAAGTGTACTTCACTATACTATTGTTTATTTTATTGTTTACTAAAGTATACTCAAGTACTATTGCTTACTTTATTGTCTACCGAAGTATACTTAAAGTATACTTAATAGTATAGTCAAGTGTACTTGACTATACTATTGTACACTTTATTGTTGACTAAAGTATACTCAAGTACTATTGTTTACTTTATTGTTTACTATACTTTAGTAAACAATAAAGTAAACAATAGTATAGTCAAGTACACTTGACTATAATATTGTTAAGTATATGAAATATAGTTTAGAATAAGTAAACTCTAAGTACACTGCCTGATTTTAAGTATGAAATGAGTTCACTTTTAGTATACTTGAGTAAAATACTTTTTGCTGAGGGTAAACAGGCTTAACCTAATTTACAGTTTTAATTTAATCAATGTTCTTTCCTTTCAGGTCGACAAGCAGCCTGTTTTGATTGCATTAGGCAGCAATTATTAAACTGAATAATAGAGGATAGATTTTTATTTTTTTATCTTCCGTTGATAGTACTGGGATTTCCAAAACTACGTAATAGGCTATATCTGGCACTATACAGTCCATTAAAACGTTTTCATTTTCAGTTTCTCGTTTTAAACGAGGGGAAACTTGATAAGTTTTCTCTCTCTTACAGCTCCTCCCCTCTCCATCTCTTCTCTTTAGGCGAAAAAGCTTTCTTTCACTTCAATTCCTCAGCCTACATTGTTCACTTCGGGTCGATCCGCGTTATAAGAAAGCTCATCTTCATCGGGATCATAAGGACCATGTCTCCCAGCTTCATTTTTCTGCTGGTTGGTTTGCTGAGCGCTCTGCGGTGGCTCCATGTGTCCGCCTGTGGTGAGTTTTCCTTCTCCTGTGGGGATTTGATCCTCCCTTTATGCGGAGGGAAAACTTGAGGATGGCCTTTTTCAGCAGACCTATCTGAGAAAAAGGCAGCAGATCGTTTTAATTAGAACATTTAGCACACATTTGCAATAGATTCACATTTAATCGTGGATCCAACTGGATCATAGGTCCGTTATCCAGACGCGTTTAGTCGCTTTTGTTGTTGTGGGTTAGAGTAGCGGTGGCTGGGTGAATAATTACAGCCCACACCAAAAACTGGAATTTAAAGAGATCCAGTATGTTTTTTTAGATAGGCCTATATGTTTTTAACAGAAACAAGTAATGAACTATAGTTTACGTCTTTAAAAAAGTAAGTTTAAGCGCATCAATTATATTTAACATCAGATTTAGAATCGGAAACATATGTTTTTTCACCTGTTTTTACATGTTATGTTATTAATATTATTTGTAAATCAGTTTAACTGCTGGACAGCCTCTATGATTTTCACTTTAAAACATTTGCGCCTATACGTCATTTACTGGGAAAATGTTATAAACTTTTTTTTCTTAACATTCGTAAAACCCAGGAGAGAAGAAAGAATGTATTTCGGAGAAAATTACACTTAAGAAAAAAAAGTAAAATAAAAACAATCGCAAAGCTTTTTTTTTTTTTTTTTTTTTTTTTTTTTTTTATATTAAAAATGTTCAGCAGTGATGGTCCTAGACCAAGTGTTCCAGGGGCCGGGGCAGCGTGTTTTCATGGGGGCACACTCATTACAAGGCCAAGGGATTCAAATACATTGAGATAGCAGCATGAAGTGAAATTTCCATTCAATTAGGTTTAATTCAATATATATGTCTTCCAAATGAAAATATTTATTTTTGGCTTGAAAATGTTCATTTGGATTATCCTTAATATCAACATAAAAATACCTTAGCATACAAAAAAGCACCTCAAAAAAGTTGTAGCTATATAAATATCCAAAAGATAAAATAAAGCTATTATTTGGAGTATTAGGTCAATATGCATTCATAATTTAGGAATTGTACATATTTTTAACTTAATTTAAGTTAAAATTACAGTTTTCTATAAAATCAGAATCAGAACTAAAAAAAAACCGATAAATACAGCGGTAAAAATTAGACTTTTAAAAAAAAAATTCTTTTGAAAAAAAACATTTAGCAGAAAAAACTACGATCCTGTCTCAATACCATTGAAGCTATCACCGTATTGTTTTTAAATAATTAATAAAACAGAAGAAGAAAAAGAAAAGAAAAAGGAAATAGATCCAAAGGACCTATCAGAAACCATGTGTGCTCCAGTGCAGGGGCCATAACAGGGGCCAGGACATGATCCACAGGGGCACTGGTCCCTGTTGGGCCCTGTCTAGAACCGCCCATGATGTTTAGCCTCTTTGGGATTTTCCATGTCCTGGAGAGTCCCCCCATTTATGTACGCAGCAGATTTGAAAGTGAAAGTAAGCTTCTTTTCAACAGGTTAAGCTTTCACTTCCATTAAACTACTAAATTACACTGCACATATACCCCATTAAACAACACTAACCTGTTTAAAAAAAAGAAAAACGCTTTAAAACCTTTAAAACTCCTTGCTATATAAGCCCTCAAGTGTAATCGTATCAGGCATTTCATGAAAATATGCACATTTTTCACAATTTTGTACAAAGGACTGTTTGTGAATATTGTTACCTATTTGGAGAAACATGTAACCAGAGTAACCTTTGAGGAAAAACTGGCTCCTAGTTTGCAAAAGAGTTGCAAGTAAAGTCAAAGCGTGACTAGTGATTAATGTGTTAAGTATGTAGCACACTTAAATCTATTTCTGTATGTGCTTTTCATTTACTTTTTTATTTCCTTGCTTTAAACATACCAGAATAAATTAAAGGACCATACCCTTACTAAATAAACTACACATAGTTTTTGTTAGTTGTGTTCTGCCCTTTGATGCAGACAGGAAGTGAGAATGTGGAAGTTCAACGAAGACTTGTGGAAAAAAATCCCAGCCTGTTCCATTTAGTCATTTCCAGTGTAACTCTCTAACCATCTCAGAATTAAATAGAAATGTTAATAAAAGCATAGATGTGTTGTATTTTATTAGCTGATTTAATAAAAATGTAAACAGATAAACTCAAGCTGTGCATTGTATTTTCTTACAGTTAAGAGGCTCATACAGAGGCAGCTGACCAACCTACTGACAACTCTTGATTCTTGTCTAGGCAACTGGACGTGAAGTTTTTTAGAAGAAGTTTAAAGTATAAATTCAGGCTCCTTCAATTAGGAAGTATATTGATAAGGGAGAAAATTGCTCCTCTACTAACACCAACATCAGACAAGCTGAAATCATCAAGGAAAACATCCCAGGTGGTGAAAAAATAAATAATTTAAACTGTTCAAAGTAAAACAAAATAGGTGAATAACTAAAGGTTATTTTAAACAAACTTGTGCCACAGTTAAATTCAAAGTCAAAATAGAAAACTAAATAGCATTTGGTAGATGGAAGGAGTTCCTTATTCATTTTTTTAATTGGAACATTAAGTAAGAAAAACTACATGCACTGATACTAGTGAATGTAATTAGCACAGTTAAAGATAAAGAAAATAAAGTAACAGATGTAAAACTTTCAATACTGATATATATTAAAAAAAAAAAACCTTTAAATCCCCAACAAGTTTAGGCTACGCCAGAATATGTTTACAAAATATATTGTTTATCTTCTGAGTCATTGAGGGTATGTGTGGAAAGACAGAAATATACTTATATTTACTCTGTTTCTTTCAGATGCCAACTGTGAAGATAAACCTGTGTTGACTCCATCTAGACTGGTGGTGAAGTACGGTGATCCAGCCTCTGCCACATGTGTGGCTTGTCAAAAGGACTGTCTTCCTGTTGATGAGAGCGTTATTGATATGGAAGTATCTGTGGGAAAAAGCTCAACAAATGGAACCACAGTGAATTGGACTGTAGACCGTCTTACAGTATGGGACAGTGAACCAAAATGCTACTATACTGACAAGAATGATAAACAGTGTTGCAGCCGCCTGTCCCTTACTGTGTACCGTGAGTATATGTCCAAGTGATTTTTCAAATCTGCTTTGTCACATATTTATTGCTTTATGTGTGGATTACGTTTTTTTCTTCTTTTTTTGCTGTTGCTGGCAGATATAATAATAATACTAGCAATAATAATTTTATTTCAACATTGTATCACATTTGATTTATTTTAATATCTTCTCTCCAGAGCCTCCAGAAAATGTTTCCATCAGCTTAAATCAAAGTGGACCTCTGACCGAGCATACAGAGTACATCCTGAAGTGCTCTGTACAAGAGGTAGCTCCCATTCGAAAACTAGTTGTGACCTTTTACAAAGGAAATACAAAGCTGGGTAGCAAGCCAGATAGCATGCCTGGCGACAGTACCCAAAAAACCCCAGTAAATAAGACCTTTACTTTGAGTTTCAACACCAGTAAAGAACATAATGGAGCCCAGTTCTGGTGTGACGCAAAGCTGGAATTGGGACCTGAAGGACCACAGCCTCCGCCAGTGGTGAAATCAAACTATCTCAATGCTACAGTTCACTGTAAGTATAAACACTCATACTTAGTGTATATTTGAGCATTTGAATGAAAAGTTAACTTATTTCAGTAACTTGATTAACTAAATGAAATTTAATATACAGATAAAAAAACTACCGTAATGTTTTTTCCTCATAAAGTTCTATACAAACACTTCAAATTAGATTTTAGTTCAAATGAATTGTTTTAAATTCATTCAAATTGTTCTTCATGTGTGTTCTATTTCCAAAAAACACAATAGTTATAAGGGTAAAGCAAGTATCTAAATTATTACGTTTTGTCATAGTACAGAACAAAGTTAATGCGACCCATTGTAACACACCCATAGCTACTGCCATCTGTTTAATTTAACCATCAGCCTGTTGTTTTATATATGATTCTGATGTTGCATTGAAGTTGATTTTAGACCAAGAAGATGTTCTTTTCTAACCATGCAGTTTTTTAACAATGTCGCATGTGAATTCTTTAGATAGTGACTGTAAATAACAGGTAACGTCTGTTTTTGGTCATTCCGATGTAAAACTAAACTTTGTTAATCTGTCAATGACTGCATTTTATGTTTTAAAGCTGTATTGATGTTGCACAGTTGGCTAGCAAATTAATTATTATTAAATCATTTGTGTGTTGTTATTTAGCCCCTGCAGCTATATATATTTTTAAAAAATATAGCTGTTAATGGTTACACATTCTATTCATCACCAACATGAATAGAAGTGAGGGATTGCCTTCGAGTCAATGAGTCGATGCAATCAACTGGTTTTCCTTAGATAGAAAACTTTGAATCAATTTGACTGTATGATGTGGTGAACTGTAAAGTGCCTTGAGATGACATGTGTTGTGAATTGGTGCTATATGAATAAACTAAATTGAATAGAAAAAATTTAATTAACAAGAGAACAGCTAAAAAAATATCATAGCTAATAATTTACAACATTAATGCCCAAATATTAGCATATTAAATGCTGCCAGTACAATTGTCTATATAGAGGGTTAGATGTTAACGGTGAAACTCTAATCTGATGAATTTAACCTGGAGATACTCACACAGAGAAAAGCTGCAATTATAAAACTTTTACTCAATTTAATTTAATTTATTTATACCGGTAATACAGACAGATTGGTCAAATTTGTTCTATCTATGGCAAACTAGCTGATTGCATGGGCTCGTTGTGACTCTCTAATACCTCCCACCAAGCATGCATGTAGTGACTGTGGAGAGGAAAAACTCCCTTTTAACAAGAAGACTCCTCCGAGACCGACTGGGGTTCAAGGATACAGAAGCAGACATATAGATATTTACTTGAATGATATTAGTTTTTTAGCGCTCAGGCCCAGGCAGAAGACTTTGATGATGCTGTGAATCAACATTCGCTAGGATGAGGAACCTAGGAAAAGGATTAGAATAGTCATCCCCCAGGGTCCAGACACTGGTGGTGGAATAAGCCAGAGGGTGATTGGGACTGAGGATGAGGGAGGAAATAGGGTGGAGGTGGGTGAAAGTGAGTGCAGGAGAGAGAAGCTAGGCCAGTAGCTAAATAAATCGGTGGAGGTGTGGCCCCGAGATGATTGGCTGAAGTTGGATGAGGGACATTGCAGGTGGTCTAGGTGAAGCTGATAAGAAATTATAGAAAAAAAAATTCTATAGCTTCCTTTCAGACAGACCAAAACCCGAACATCCCACATTTGGTGTAATGACAAAGACAAGGAGCTGCCATTGAGTGGAATGAATGCAAATGTTACTGTTAGAGGTGTTTTTCTAACCTTTCTATCAATTTCCTGTCTCAGATGTAATTTCAGTAGCTTGATCTCTGACAGTTGTTTCTTTTAACAAAATGACAACAAATTAATTCAGTGTCTCCTGGATACAGACATGCCAAATGCAGCTGTAGTGACCGATAGTTCTGTCATCAGCAAATACAAATCTCATTTATAATTGCAAAGGTGCATAATATATAATGATGTAGGCTATATAACTGACAATTGCTTCTAAATAACAACAAATGTAGTCATTTAGTAAAAACCTAGGTTTGGATAGAAGCTGACTAATTGTCTCCTACGTTAAGTCTGGAGCACTCTAAAAAAGTTGTTCCTAATCAAGAGAAGATTAGAAATAGGAGAAAAATGGTTAATGCTGCATTTTCTCCTAAATCACTCTTATGAACAATTTAAGAACATATTTGTTTATAAGAACAGTTCTTGCATGAGGCCCAATGACTTTATGCAATTATCTGGGTTTCCTTAGATAGAAACATTTATAACCACTCTGCACTTTGTCTCTAAAGTGCCTTGAGATGGTGTGTGTTGTAAAGTAGCGCTATATAAATGAACCAATCTGTGCTTAGAAATAAATTATAGCTATACTTTATTTGAAGCATATGTATTTAAAGAAATACAATACAGTGAATCATGAGGTCATGTATGCTCCTTGAAATGTTAAATTTGGTCTGTTAGTGAAGTTTGGTCTTTCTTTACATCGTTGGTTGATTTCAATTATTATACCTCGTTTCCCTCTTTGCTGCATACACAGATGGGCCTCTGCTTAAGGTTTCAGCTGATCCAGATCCAATCACCATCACAAGAGGAAACACTCTCAATCTGACCTGCTTGGCTGAGGGCAACCCTGAACCTTCGTACAGCTGGACGTTGCCGTCCAATAAGGGTTACCACAGTGGGACCAGTCTCATCGTTCAGTCAGTGGATTATCAGGATGAAGGAGAGTATGTCTGCACTGTTAGCAGCAAACTGAAAACTATCCACGTGAAATTTAATGTACAAGTCCAAAGTGAGTACTCTCTCTTTAATTAATCACAAAAGAATATGTGCATTTGTTTTATTTTACTTTGTGTTGTTGTTGTTTGTACTGTTAATTATGATGTGAGGTACTGAAAGCTAAAGTCTAATTCTGGTAAATGAGGCACTCAATTTTCTTGAATTTTCAATCTCTGATTTTTAATGCTTTTTCCATTTTCTCTTCTTTTTTTTTGTAGAAAACATCTGGCTATACATTATAATTGCTACAGTAGTTGCTGTGGCTCTGCTTTTGACCATCTTAGCAATCTTCTATTTTTTTTACTATAAACACAATAAAATGGGAAAGTACCAGCTAAAGGATGTTTTCCGTTTGGGTACAGTACGTCACACTGCTATTCCTCTGAGTGCTTAAATAAAATCACTTGATGGACCTTCTAAAGCTGAGGTTTTGAAGACAGCTACAGTGAACCTGCGTTCATCTTGCTACAGGATCTCTTAATTTCCAATCATGGACAAAAGGTGTTCCTCTTTATGGAAGTTTTCAATTCTTTCTAGATGGTTAAAGTCTTGTAAGAAAGGAACATGAACTCTTTGCATCTGAAATCCACTAAGGCTGGAATGGACTGTAATTATTTAGTCTTTCTCATTTAATTTCTTTGTGATTTTAGATAAAGAGACAAACTGTGGTAAAACTGTTATGAATTGTAAAAACGAATTGCAAATGCCTTTTCTAAAGTGTTTGTTATAGATACTGGTTACATCTGTTTATATGTGCTCTTTTAAAAATTATTGTATTGCAATTAAATCCAGAAAAGTATGTATCATCTGCATATTTTCCCATTTTAGTTATTACAGGCATAACAACTGTGAATGTTTTATTTAAAAATTTCCTTTTAAAAGTAGTTGGAATATCTAGGTACAGCATAAGTGAACAGGATGAAGTAGAACTAGGCAGGGGATTTACATTATGGACCTGGATTACCAACATCTGGCTTTAGACCAAGACTTTTAAATACAACTCCCCTTAAAGCACTACAAAACTTGCTTTTGCTCCACATATGTGCTTTTATTTATGTGTATGTTGTCGTCATTAGAAGTGACTTAATGGATTAGGCTGGGAATATGTCACCTTTCTCTGCTAGACTTCCACATTCTCACATTTTTTTTGTATCAAAATGTAGACCAGTTACAATGAAAAGCATATGAAGTTCAGATGGTTTTAGTATCACTCTTTAATCTATTCTGTTATGTTTAAAAAAAAAAAAGTGTTTCAGTGAAGTTTCAGGCAAGGAGAGAGTCAATAATGAAGGCAAAAATAATGGATAGTGTACACAGTGGCAACCTCCTCCCCCCACACACACTGACCTGTTCAGAAGCACAGTTAATTTACCACACTTGTATTTAACTTGACTCTGTAGAATGTAATGAAGCTAAGATTTCAGTGTTTCTCCAAGATTTTCATGCCTCTCATGATCTGTGTTTCCTATGAATAATGAAAATTCTGCATATTTGGAAATATTTGCTGTCAGTGACACCTTTGTGAAGTTATCTTTAGCTCTATTCATTTAACTCTTTTTGACTCAGCTGTAAAGTTATACATTCCTACTCATTTAGAAATGTCTAATAGAATTTGACTCTATGGAACAGTTTTGAAGACATGAAGTTTAAAGGTACAGACACATCATAGGCAAAGTTACTTTTGGAAAAGATGGAATATTGTTGAATAAAGACAAGCTTTTTTTTTTATCTATTTTTAAACTGTAAATAAAGTAAAAAATTCTTCTAAAGACATACTTCATTCTCCTTACTGTTTAAGTAATCTTGTTTAAAAAAAAAAAAAAGGTTTTCAAATTATAATCTGAGCAAGTAGTGACTCAAAGACATGCGCATGTTTTAGTATGAAAAACATGCTGGATGACTAAGAAATGATCAACACATTTTCCATTTGACTACCAGCCAAATTCCTTTGAAACTGAGGGGAATTTTACAAACGGAATGTACAGAGGATGGATCAAGGTTAGATTTCCAAAGAAATGTTAAACCCCCCTCCTTCCTACTTTACTCCCTGCTCAGCAAGACAACTCTGCTGGAATGAGGTCAGATGGGATGTTTGTGTACGTGTGGGCCACTGCTATTCTGAAGTACTTAATATGAATTGTTAGGAAGTTTGTGCCTCTGCTGTTTAAATGAGGCTTATATAGAAGGAAATTCATATACAATATTACTTTAAAAAAACACATATTCTAAGATCCCCTTGTGGAAATTTTCTTGCCTCTAGCCAAAATCCCCCTTTCTTGCTGCAGCAAAATCAACATTTGAGATTTAAAGCATAGGGTTTAGTCCCATTCTTCTAAATGGTGTGTGTCGCTATCATTGGTTAATTGGTTCCCCTGCATATCAGGCTTTGGAACGTGGGAGGACAGGAGGTCCTTGACCTCTTTGAAGTTAGCAAGATCTGGGACATGATTTAGTCCTTGTAGTTAATTTTTGAACACTTGGGTGTTCTCTGTCCATTCAGTTGTTTATTTTCTAAGCTAAACTTCCTGTTTATGTCACTTACAGCTCACATTCAGACTTGCAAGACGCTGAGTCATTAGAAAAATGTACCAAGTGCTACAATTGTTATCAACCTAACGTTTCATAAATGTGAGCTAAATCTTTTGTAAAACATTCCTCATTTTGTTGTGATAATTAACTCACACTGGATATTTTAGCTGCCTCTTTTATAACATGAGGACAAAATAACTTACCTGCTGGTCTTTTACAGTATTTATTCCTCTCATTATGGGCAAGAAATCCTGTTTATAAATTTCCTGTCCCCCCTTATAACATGGGAATAGATTAATTTACTAGCAAGTTGCTTGTAGTGCTTGCTCCACTAATTATGGCCCATAACTCCTGTGGATTTGAAGACATTTGCTAATTTTTTACCAAAGTTAAATTAGGTTGAACAGGATATTTCCGACAGCTGATATATTAATTTCCCTATGTGTAACTTTGACAATTGAAAAGCAAATGTTTCCACATTCACAGTTAATATTGCCCAATATTAATTGGAATAAATAGCGTAAAACCTTGCTGGTACATTGATTTATCCCTATGATATGAAGAGGAACAGGATATAGACTGCTAAAATATTCAAAGTTCCTATTCCACCTGTAAGCGTACAAACTCATCTTTTCAGAAAGCCTATTTTTTTGGTATTCATGACAGTGAGCTTCAATCCTTTTTCATCAAAACGGTAATGCAAAATTATAAATAAACAATGGACTGGAGAACAGCGTTTATTGGCTGATTGATATCTGTCATATAAGTTGGGAAAGATTTGATCTTTTCGGCAGTTAAAGATCAAAGTTCCAACATGGAACTAAATAAAAAATCTGTGACCCATGAGTGTCAGTGAATAAAAAAAGTAAAATTAGGCTTGTTGAGTCCAGCTAGAGACAATGAATTGCTTTGATATGTGCTGGCTGTTAGGCCAATCATTAATTATGTCCCTCTTTCCCTATTCTACCTTCAGCATTCCATTGCACGCTAATTTGACTCCTAAAATACAGATATGAGTGCTTTTGTCATGCCTACATTAGGTTGTCACTCAGGAAAGCAGATTCTAGTATTTTTTCTATCTTAAAACATTGACCAAATAATAATGTAATCTGGAGGAACGAGTTCATTCATTTAAGTTTTTATGAAATAAGCTAATCTCAGCAAAATGAAAGTTTTAACTTTACAGAAAAGGATCAAAATTACAACTGTGTAGACATTGTGTGTCAGACCACTTCAAGAGCAGATTCTGTTGAATTGAAAGATGACTGATTAAATCTGATGTCAATAGTCAAAATAGAAGTAGTGTTCACAAATAACTATGTTCAAGGTAAATTTTCTCCTTTTTAACACAACAGAAGAGCTCCCAATTGGCAAGTACCACATGTTTTATGTCCTTGATTGAAACAACCCTTTGTGAAACATTAATCTAACATTCTATCTGTGCCAAATAGGACGCATAAAGAAGCAAAAAAATAGCTTTTAGTTTAGCAATGAGACATGTTAGAAATAATTTTCATCTAAAAAAAAATCTTTTAATCATAGTCGAGTTGGAATACAGAAGTATATATGGAACCATAGCAGATTTTATATTATATTTCACATAGTTTGGTATCGCCATGCACATAATATAGATAGCGTTATGCACCATAACTTGATATTGTGATACAAGTTGAAGATGAAGAATTCAGAGAGTAGACCAGATATTCTTCTAGAGATTTAGCAGACATTATATAGACTACAAAGAATGGAGCTGATAGTAGTATTGTAGTATTTTTTGTGTATACCAGCACACATTGAGATACATGGAAATGAGCCAGCAGACAAAATGGCAAAGGAAGCTACATTAGATGATAAAATCAATGAGGAAATGTAATTGAATAGATAAGAAAATGAAAGCACAACAAAAACTGGTAAAGGAAATATGGCAGAATAACATGGAAGAAAAAGGAAAAGAAAGGGGGTTAGCAAAGAAACAGAGGAAGGCTGGTGAAATGTTAGGTGGCCCCCCCACCTAAGAGAAGATATAATAATATTAAGATTTAGATTTGGTCACACCTGATATAACAGCACAGTCTTCAGAAGAGGAAAAACTAAAACATTTGAAATACTGTTTTTCAGTATTCATTCAGGAAGAGACTGTAAAACATTTTAATCAACATTGTTGAAAACCAAAACCAAAAATAATATAAAAACTCGATATTACATCTATTAATATTGCAATTTATTGTGTGTGCTAGCCCATTTAGGAGAATTTCTTTAATCAATGTATTCAATTCTGCACCTGGACCAACACCTCCTGAGGAGGCTGAGGTCCTTTGGAGGGAGCAGCTGTTGTCTGCTGGGTTAGGGCCCATCAGACAACTTATTATATATATATATTATATAAACTCTTATATATAAAAATATCTATCTATATAAATACCCATGTAAACACCCTGTGCAACAACCCTGTATATAATCCTACTATCAACAAAAACAAAAAAGCTGTGGACGCACTGTATATACTGTAACCCCATGTACCTTTCTCTTCCTTTGGTACATTCTCAATCAATGTATCAATTCAGGTATATATTTTTGACCTATCCTTGAAGTTCTGAACTTTGCCAGTTGGTGACGGTAATGTGCCAACCTTACTTGTCAACCACACGTAATTTACAGTAGGACACGAAGAAGCAAAACAAGATAACGAAGAAGAAGAAGAAGAAAACGAGACCCGCCGCGGTGCGCGCAGTGATTCCACTAACAAGATTCCTATTGGGGATGTTTTGAACTCGATCGATTTGGTGTTCTGCCGCTAAGCAGCTTAAGTGAGCTGCTACGAAATCAGTAGTTGCTTTAGACGAAGCTGTTCTGATTCACAGTAGTGGTTCTGGCTCCTGTTCCTCTTTGGGTTGATTTTGAAAGTCAGAAATTCTGGAAAGATGAGCATTGACTACAGTGTGTGGGACCACATCTATGTCTCCGACGATGAAGACGTCACCAGTCCTTTCGTGGACACACCGAGCTTGTTCAGAATGAGACACCGGGTCAGCAGAAACACTTGTAGCAGTGGGAATCCCTGTTAGAGTGTAGATAACAGACGTTACATGTAGAGTGTTGTTTGGTGAACTGGTGTTATGCTGGGATCTGTAAGCGGTTCAGATGAGGCTGAATCCTCTCAGGACACTGCTTAACCTGTCAGATAGGGCTCAAAAAAAGGAAATGAACCAATTAAATCAACTCTTAAGAAAAAACGTTCAATATTTTGTTTGAAATCAATTGTTTGGTTGATCTTGAAATCTGTAAAACGCAACAAAAAATATTATTAAATACAACTATACATTATTATTATTAGAACTATGTAAGGTTCTTCAATACGGACCAGAACAAGATAAAAATATATATACAACTATTAATACATGTCAGCAACACTGAAGCAGTTATTCAAGCAAGACTTGTTTTTTTTTTCCAACAACATGGAGCCAAGCTTATTTAAATTTTTTTGGAAACGCATTACAATAAGATACAGAAAGAAAAAGTTTAAATTATTATCTAGGATAACACAAAAAGCTGAACTTTAGAACCTTAGAATAATGAAAAACTGATCAGATTGACCTTATGTTCAGTCCTCCATCTTTGAACAAATTTTTTTTCATAGTGTAAACCAGGGATCTTCAACATTTTCCAGGCCAAGGAGCCACAAACTGATGGCGAGATGGAGCGGGGACCCCCTAACTATATATATTATACCTAATTATGTTATATCAAACTGGTCCTATAGTCACTCTATTATATATGGAGTAATGTAACAAAAGTAATTTCACCCTGGGATTATTAAAGTATTTTTTTGATTCTGATTCCTTGTTAATGGGACAGGTGTTGTGAATGAAACGGTGCCCAGCCCTGTGTGTCGCTGAATGTGTGCATTGGTGATAAAGACATCTTCTGTCTCCATTTATCTGTTTCCTTCAGTGTGTTGAATTCATGTTAATGTGTATTTAAAGACATTTCAATTCACGGGGGAATATAAAAAAAAAAACCATGCAGTACCTCTGTGGACCCCCTAGGGTTTGCAGACCCCCTGTTGAAGACCTCTGGTTTAAAGTATATAGTAAATGACAGTCACAAACATACACATTAATACACCAATATACAGGTCTTAAGGCAATGTGTGTTAGTGCCTTACCAAGGGATATAATGACGTAGAAGGAAGCTGGAATGAAAACTAACACTTTTCCACCATAACCCTGTATTCTGCACATGCTGTATGCTGGTGAAGATTCTCAGTCATCCAGGTCATAGTCATTTCAAAAAAGTAAAGAAAAAAAAAATGAAAACAATCCACTGGGCTTGGTTTCCAAGTTTAAAGACATTTCGCTTCCCATCCAGAAGGCTTTTTCAATTCAAAATGTCAGAAATAGCGTTGATTTCAAGGCTTTATAGAGTGGAACATATAGCAAAACATATAGTCTTTTGGCTTAGAAACATGCAATATTGAACCTGAAGAGGGGCGGACCTGCTTGTCAGGTTCCATTTGCATGTTTCTAAGCCACAATATTTTAATATAAAACTGAACTACATGCCTAAAATAGATTAAAACTCACATCCAAAATACTTTTGGCAGGGTCACCACTAATTCTAGAAAAATATAAGAAATAAATATCATTCCTTTTCTTCTCTCCTTATGACCTCACTCATTTGCTGCTTTGTGTCTTCCCTTTGTTCTTCCATCATTGTACTCTTCCTACCTTCTTTCATTCCTTAATTTATTCCTTTACCCCATGTCTTCTTTCATTCTCTGCAGCATGAATCTTTTCATCATCATATTCTCCCTTCAACCTTTTCTTAATTTCTTGTTCTTATAATGCCCATAATGTCATTGTTACCTTCCTTCCTCCCTAATAGTCCATTATGTTTAGTCCTTTGTAAGTTCCTTCATTACTTAGTTTGTTCCTTCCACCCTTTATTCCTTCATTCCTTACTTCCTTCATTCCATCCTTCTTTTGTTCCTTCCTTCCTCCCTTCCTTCCTGCTGAAGGAGCTGGGTATGAATCTTGGCCATGTTTCTTTTTGCATAGATTTTGTATATTCGTCCAATCTGATTCTCCAGGTAAAGATGCTGGTAGGTCTCTGCACAACGTCAAATAAAATAAACATCTGAACTTATTTACACGAAATGAGTCAAAGATCTCATACATCATCTGTAACTAGACGTAAACAATTCTTTGTAACTCCTTCCTTCCTACCTTCCCACTTCGTTCATTCCTTCGTTCCTTCTGTCCTTCATTCACTCGTTCCGTCCTTACTTCCTCCTTCCCTTTATTGTTTTTGAAATAGGAGACTGCAGTTGTTTTTTTTCTTATTTTAAATGTCATTTGTCTTAATGAATTGGCAAAGTGTCTCACCTCCTCAATCCAAGAAAAAATACACTTATTTTAAGAAATATTGACTTACTTAGATTACAAATTTTTTGCAGTGTACCGTTCTTCTTGTTTCTTATTTTCCCCTTTTCTTTTCTCTTTCCCTCCTACAGGGGGGTTTGGGCTTGCAAAAATGTGTGTCAACCTTTAATATTTTAGATGCTAAAGTAATGCTAAAGTAAGTAAAACAAATGACTGGGAGCTCTCAAATTTAAACACTACTTGGAAATGTAAACCGAATCCTGCTCTAAGCAAACTTAGGAAAAGAAAGGCTAATGGGTGCAAATGTAGGACAGCATTTGAAACACCAATGATCATGCTTCTTTAGTCAACCCTGGATCTGCATTGACTGTCTAAAAAAGCTTTGCTAACACAGGACTCGGTGGGAAAGTGTATAATAGTATCTCTGGTATTCCCCAAATGTTCCTGGTCTTTGTTGCCCTCCTTGTTTTACTGTCTCTTTAAATGTAAAATTTACTTAACACATTCAAAAAAAATGTTGACCAAAGTACCTTAAAGGCACACCAATATTTTAATACATTTCACCTCCTCAGATCCCTAATACTGTAACGTTCTTAGATGTGGGAAAGTCCAGAGTAGCACAAGTCAAGCAGAGAAAAATCAAATCTGTTTATGTAGCTGAAACACAAGGTTCATGGTGGGTGTGGACTGCATTTGTACTTTAGATTTCACTGTAACTGTTAGATTTTCAACCCCTAAAACTATTACCGGTATATTGTAATACCCTCTATATTTTGTATCTCTACAGCATCATTGAAAAAAAAAAAAAAAAACTTTTTGGTACTTTATTCTATTTTTATTTCCATATGTTTCTATCTATTTTCACTATTTTCTATTTTTCCTTCCCTCTGCTATATTTTGATATTCTTTATCACATGCTTTTCCACGTGTCTTGTTATTATCCTTGTCCATTTGTTTTCAACTATGTGCTACAAAAGGCCAGGCTAGAGAAGATGGCTGAGTTTCAGCAGAGGGGTGAAGATCTGGAAAATAACTTAACCGAATGCCAAAGGCTGCTGAAAGAAACGCAGGGACGACTCCAGTACCTGGAAGAACAGAGAAAAGAGGGAGCGGAGGATGAGGAGCGAGAGGCTGAGTTAAAGAAAGTCCAGGCTGAGGTAAAGAAACTTGAGAAGGATGAAAAGTCCTTTCTAGGACTCCTGGAAAAACATCGGCGTGATGAGAAGAAACTGCCCTGGAATGTGGATACTATCAGCAGAGAAGGCTTCAGCAAGGTAAATGAAGATGCACCAAGTTGGACATGCATTTTCTAAACAAGTTCCACAAATTCTCTATCAACTATATAAGACTACCTTGTGTCATTTGGTATAATGTTAATTTTTATAATAGTGGTTAAAGTTTTTTTAATCTTTTTGTAAAATCCTTTGACACAGACCTTACGCCCCAGCTAGAATGATCAAAATGTTGTTAATTTGGGGGACTATAAGCATCTTTTTGCAAAGTTAATGGTCGGCTCATGCTGCTGTGATTGCTGTTTGGTGATGTTCTATGTAGAGGAGTAAATATCACAAACAGACTGCCCCAAACACCTCATACCCTGCTCCTAGAGAAGTAGGAAAATCTCTTCAGCTGGAAATTATATTTAAGTTATCTGTATATATTTAGTTATTTTCAAAGCTGATTTTTTTCATTTGCTGTTATAAAAATTGAGGTTGTTGTTTATCCTCTGCTGACTTTGTCCTGTCTTTCCAGAGCATTCTCAACATCGAGCCTGAAATTAAAAAGGGAACACAGCAGGATAAAGTAATGAAGCACAAGACGTTTGTGGAGAAGTATGCCAGGGAAATTAAACACTTTGGTAATATTGAAAGCACAAAAATATATTTATAATTTTTTAGCTGGTTCTCAGTGACCCGTTGTTGTCCTCCCCACTTTTCTCCTTTCCAGGTATTTCTGTGAGAACCACTTTATTCTCCTTATTAAGAGAAATTAACACCCTTCCAGTTTTTATTTGTTAGAAACAGTATATATTCTATACAGTGTTTGAAATCCTCCTTGATAACACATTGGATTTAAGTCTATCATTGGCAGTTGTTATGGTGTCAACATTAGAGGAAAAGGTTGACGTAATATGTCTTTTTACCACTTATTATATAGTTAAATCAACGCAGACATCCTAATATAAAAGTTGGAAAAGTTCACTCTCATGCTTTACATGCTATGTATAAAATATATACATATTTAGCCAATTGGATGGACTGTCAGTGTGTTGTATAAAATGCTGTTTTTTGCATGGTGTAAGGATCAAGACAGAAGGCCCAAATTTTCAGCCAGGACACAGGATTAGAACTTGAGGAGTTTATTCAGAACTCAGGACTTCAGGAGCACATCCACCGAGGACCAGGGATTATCAGAGTAAGGAGGATCAGCAGCTTGAACAGAGCAGACTGCTCCTTTAACAGTTTGGTGGCTTGGTGCACAGAGGCAGGATCAAGGTCCTGGAAGCTAGACTCAGGCTAATGATCAGGGGGCTTGGCAGGTGGCAGAAGGGGCAGAAACAGGGTCGTTGTGCAGAAGCTAGAGAAATCCGATGAGGGCTAGGCAAGAGGGAAAATCCTTGAAGCGAAGACGTGGTCAAGAGCTTGGTCAGGTAACATGAGGTGCTGAATACTGCTTGCTTGCTATTATCTGGCACTGTCAACTTATAACTGCTTGAGCACAGCTGAGAGACATGCTGCTGATTGCCCAGCAGGCAGCAGCTGGAATTGATTGCTCACAGGGAGAGCAGAGCAGGCAGACAGGCCAGAATCATAACACATACCCATTCACATCCCTCAAACAGGTTCATACTACAAACATAAACTTTAGTGTATTATTATGTGATATTTCAAAGTAGAGCTGAATGATAAAGTGGATGGAAAAATATGCATATTTTCAATAGTAGACAATAGTTTATTGTCTTCAAAGGTAACTTTATTGTCAGACAATGTCCAGACAATGCAAAAACTATCTAGAAATAAGTAATAACTTCTTAAATTAAATGTATTTACCCTTAATTTAAGTAGGTAAATAAGATGATTTGCTGATTTTACTCTTTGAATAAGATAATTAATATTAACTTGAAATAAAACGATGCAGTTTATGAGAGAATGTGAGTAAACAAAACTGCATCATGTAGGCCGAGGAAAACAGCTTACAGGAGAGAAGGAAAGATGTGGGCAAGTTGGAAAATGGGGTTTATTTGTGAAACAACATACTTTGGACTTCTCAATGAGCGTTTCTCAATTCATCATTCTTAAACAAAAAGACTGACTTTGAACAGAAGCACACCTACCTAGACATACAATCCCAGCTAATCTGTGACAGTCATCAGAGAAGCAGCTAAGAAGCTGATGGCACAAGATCTCTGCAGGAGTTAGAAAAATCTACATCTCAGGTTAAAGATTCAGGTAGATCAATGTTTACAAGTGCCAGTCCTCTCTGCAGGGACAGGAACATTCCTCGTAGTTGATGTGACAATTAATACCGGTAAATACAAGTATAATAGTTTAATAAAACCCATTAGAGGCTGCTAAAGAGTTGGCCTCTTTAGCAGACTCGAAAATCATTTGGACGTTGGTAGAGATTCACCTGAAGCAGGAAACCTACCGGTATCCTAAACTTAGGGCCTGATCCACAGGGGAAAGTTTTAGACCAAAACGCATTCATCAGTTAGAATAGTGCAACCAAACACAGACCTACTTTTAATTGAGAATTTGTGGCGTGTCTTTAAAATGAATGCTCAAATATATTTTTCCCCCATGCTTGGCGAAGCTGAAGCTATTTTGCAAAGAACGTTGAACTTGCTGTGTTAATGCTGGATTTATGTATTTTTACCAGGTATGCTGCGGCGTTGGGATGACAGCCAGAAGTATCTGTCTGACAACCCGCATCTTGTCTGTGAAGAGAGTGCTAATTACCTTGTCGTCCTCTGTATTGACTTTGAGATAGATGAGGTGAGTGCTGTTAAAGAGTAAATAAATAACAGTTCAGCTTTGCAGAGCCTGCTGAGGCGTACTTGTCCTTGTAGAAACATGGCCTAATGGAGCAGATTGCACACCAAGCCATCGTCATGCAGTTCATCTTGGATTTAGCTCGGACTCTGAAAGTTGACCCAAGAGGCTGCTTTAGACAATTCTTCTCAAAGATAAAGGTTTGTCTTTGCCTGCACATCCCCTGCCCTGTAAGGAACAAATGATTGCTTGTTTATTTCCAGTTGTTCCGTCCTCTCGACAGACTGCAGATAAACCATACCAGGAATATTTCGACCGTGAGCTGGACCTGCTGAAGGAGCGGGTCCGCCGGTGTGCGCAGGCCCGTATGGAAGGAGCTATGAAGGAGCTGGAGGAAGAGGAAAGACAGAAAAGATTGGGCCCAGGGGGTTTAGACCCAATAGAAGTCTATGGATCACTCCCCAAGGTAAATTGCACACACAACCTGCAAGGTTTGTAGTGTTTCAGAATGGATATTTTGTCAATGCTTAGTGAAGTTCAATGTAATTATTTAGTTGTTTTCATTTGTATGTTTGCTTGTCTGTGTGAAGCATGCTTTCACCCAAACAAATTACTTGTACGTTTAAAAAGCTTTTTCTGATTTTGATGTTTTATGAATCAACCATTTATAGTGACTTGCTGGTATAAAAGTGACTTTTAAATACTACAAAGTCTAACTTACCTGTACATCATATTTCATGTTTTTAAAGTTTTGAATGAGATTTTCATAGGAGTGGTGGATTTATAGTACTTCTTAGCTTCTGTTGCATTTCAGATTATGCTTTTCTATGTAAGCTGACAAAATGTACTGAGCTAAAATTGTTGTCCAATTGTAGGAATGGTTTTAAGAGCTTTTTTCCATAATTGTGGAAGTAAAATATGCACATTTCGGTATATATTTAATTATTTAGTTTTACACAAGAGTCGTATTTCACAAAACCAAGATAAGAGATTAAGTCTGTATTTTTCGGATATTCTGGCCTAATTAGAATGATGCTCCATTTCACCATGTCCTGCTCATATTAATGTATGATCATGTAAATAAAAAAAAAAAAAGAAGTGAAATTGGATGGATAATGCATGGTATAATTTGAATTTTTGTATTTGAACAAACTTGAATCTGAAATTGAAATTGGCCTAAACTTGGTTTCATGAAAGCTGTAACGCATAAGTTACCATGATGATTTATTCTCTGCAGCCTTTCTGCTCCAGACCAGGCAAACAGCCAGGCTGACACCGTCAGTCAGGGGCGACACTGATCAGAAAACAGTGGGTTTAATTAGTAAATCCATTACCTAATCTGCTAGTTTTTTTTTATCAGCCTGAATTAAAAACCACTAATAAATATTTTTATATCCTAATGCTATTGGTGCACTGGACTGCAAACATGTAAAGATATAACACCCGTCTGGAGCACTTTAAGTTAATTTTTTTAATAGAAAATCTCAATGTTTGTGTACGAGTGAGTTATTGTTAGGTTGCATAACTTTATAATGTAAACTCCATTACCACATTTTTCTTTTTGCTTTGGATGCCTGCATTTAACAACATCAAGGCATAGTAGCCTGGCTGAGTCCATAACTCCTAAACGTGTCCCTCCCTGGATCCATTCTAAAACGGACCTTCCTCTGTTTAAATTAGAGATTAGATTTTCTGCTGATGTGAAGTCAGGCGATGCTGGGAAACCCCTTTCGGCAGCCACATGAGGCCTTTTAACACCTAAAATTAGTAAGAGGTTTAAATATATATGCAGGGACATTGTAAGCAATTAGTATCTAGATACTACCAGTCTGCAAAAAAAGCAATAAATCCTATCTTTTGCTTGTAGTTTTAATGCCAGATGCTATTCATGATGGACCCAGACTTCAGTCCCAAGTCTGACACATTCCAGTCAAAGACTTACAGTAAACCACCAATCCAAGAGTAGAGGAATGAGCTAAATCTATGAACTCTATTTACACATTACAATATTAGCACCCATTCTTAATCTTCAAGTTAGTGGTTTCTCAGCTGAGAAAAATTACAAATATCTCAGATTATGACTTTTTCACTTAAGAGAAGTGGTTAGGAAATATTTATTTTAGGCTAATTAGGAATGAAGATAATCTGCTATTGTTTGCCAAACCAATGAATCTGTGATCGACCTCCTACAGGCCTGAATTAAGCTCAATTGTTTACACTTGACTTGACATAGTCACACATTGAGCCTGGCTTGGCCTTTGGGATATTGATGAAGCCAGGATGCATTGATCATGCTAGGTCGAGCTTGGCTTTATCTCTTATCCTGGATTTAGAGCTCACCTTTTGTCAATTAGACCTCTCTTCTCTACTCCAACAGCTAGAATACCTTTAAATGCTGAACAAAACCAGAAAAGTTTTAACCATTTTTATTATTATTTTTTTTATAAATATGAAGGTTTTATACAGAAATGTATTTTAAAGAATGTATCATTATTGCAGAATCATTTCAGGCTTTTAGGTTAGTATGAGGACTGCTTTGTCCAAACAAAAACAGAGTGTATTTTAAAGAATCTCCCTTTAGAAGAGAACATTCAGGTCTCATCATTTTTTATTTATTTATTTATTTTTATTCACAGCTATGAAGTAACATGTCCATAATCATTAAAGCAAAGCAGCCCTTTGCTTTTTATGAAGACACAGATGGCATCGTCAGTAGTTAGTTTTAGTGGTGCTGTTCTCAGTGTTTACTATCAGGTCAGGGTATAAAGGTTAAATGCCACAAGTTATTTTCTACACCCTAAAAAAGATTTTACAAAATAGGGATTTTCTCTCTTTTTTTTTTGTGGTTTTAGAAATTATTATTATGTTACAAAAGGTTGGTATCCAGCTTTAAAAGCAGTTTCAAACATAAAGACTTCACACTAATGACATATGTTGGTAAAACTCAGTAAATTAGAATATTGGATCTGATAATCCCTGTTTGCTGGAGGAAACATACCTTTTCAAAAAAGAAAAATATCAAGCTTTAAACCAGGGGTCTTCAACGTTTTCAAGGCCAAGGACCCCCAAACTGATGGTAAGAGGGAGGGATGACCCCCTAATTATATATATTTTATGAAATTGTGTTCTATCAAACTGGTTCTATAGTCACTCTATTACAGATGGAGCCATGTAAGGAAAGTAATTTCACCCTGGGATTATTAAAGTATTTCTAATTCTGATTCCTGGTTGATGGGACAGGTTTTGTGAATGAATGTGTGCATTGATGACTGAAAGACATCTTCTGCCTCCATTTATCTGTTTACAACAGTGTGTTGAATTCATGTTAATGTGTATTTGAAAACATTTCAATTAGTCGAAAAAATTGAAGGGGAGAATATAAAAAGAAAAGTTAATCAACAAAAACTTCCGCGACCCCATGCAGTACCTTCCTGGACCCTCTAGGGGTCACAGACCCCTGTTGAAGACCTCTGCTTTAAGCTGATATTTATTGCAATTTTCATTAAGCCCACATTTCTATATAAAATGTTTTTTAACTGTTCTGATGTAATAGTCTTTAGTTACATTTCTTGTTTTTGTTACATAAATAAAAATATGAGTAACATGTTTACGTTATGAGTTTATCTTCTGTTAAAAATTTTGTTTGATTATATTCTTAAATACCTTGATGCACTTCTGTGTTTCATTTTTTATTTTTTTTTAGAGATTTTGGCCAGCGTACCACTCCTGTTTGTTATTTTTAGAACATCAGGTTGTAACTAAAACAACACTGGATATTATCTTTCATCATATAGTTTTAATATTTGTTTCAACATTGTCTATCATGAAGTAAATGTTGGTTGATTTTCTTTTATAAAGTTAGTATAAGTTCTTAGATTTCTATTTCTGAAAGTTCTTGAATCCTGCTTGAAGCAGAGTGCTTGCCCCCTATTTTTTTAAATAATGGTGTGAGATCATATCTGGTTGAATTTGTGAGAAGTATTCACACAAACTACATAATATGCGTTTTAATCAGTGAGAAAAAAAAATCATGATCTATGAAGATAAACTCTCCATTTATGAAATTAGCTGCTGGAAGAAGCTTAACCGCCATTTGGTTGATGTTTTCTTTGACCAGAGACAGCTTTTTTATTTATTTTATTTTTTTTTAATTCATTAACAATAGATTTAGAAATGTTTGGAAATGTCTGATGTCTTTCAGGAAATGCAGAGGTCTTTTGATGAGAAGAACATTGAGATGCTGCAGGATGTAATGGATAAGCTGGGCCCTGAGGTGAGCTGGTTGCACGAGTAATATCAGTGAAGTTAATGATTGTGTCCCAAAGATTCTGACTATGTTGAACTTGTTTCCTTGTGTTAACAGGAGGGAGGGTACCACCTGAAGAGATGTATTGACTCTGGGTTGTGGGTCCCTGACTTACCTGAGGAAGAAGATGAGGACGAAAATACAAACTAAACTTGATGTGTTTCCAAATGATTAGGGAGTAATGTACACTAAAACTAGCTTTACAGTGATTCGATTTATACAATTATTGTATGTCTTCAGATATTTTTGCACTTGAATATTGAATTTATAGCTCAATTGTTTGACATGTTGTATTCAGGTGTGTTGTTTAAATCATTTTAAATCAAATATTCTATTGTTTCATTCACATTTAACACATTCTTGACTTTTTAAGGAAAGAACAAAAAACAGAAGCAAAGGTCTCGATTTACTGAGTTAGACCCTAACTTTTGGTAAAAAGGTATGAATCATGACTGAAAGGACAAGCTCCACGATACCAGCTTAATCTGGAAGATGTTTGGCTCAGCATTAAATATGTTCTAATATTCTAAATAATCAAAGCAGGTTGGTCCACTGGGAGGAGATCCTGAAAAAGACCTAGAATTTAGGAGTAGCTTTGAAAAATATACTGAAGTTTAGATGTATCGCCTTTTTTATTCACTTTGATTTGAATATTTGATTAGAAAGATTAATGTGCATTCTAAAATTGGCTATCTAGTCTTTTTCATTAATATATATATATTAGACGAGGTGCCAGGAAAGACCAAGTACGGACTGGAGAGGCTCTTCGTCCTGTCTTGGCTGAAACATCTTGGCTAGAAGGAAAAAGATGTCTGTTTTTCCCTGTTGGACCATTTTTCCAGCTACTACATCCTTTTACCAAAAATGTTTTTTTAGCCAAAAAATAGTATTTACTTTTCTCCCCAATTAGTTGCATGTGGACTTGTTTGTCAATCTTGATTCATCATTTGCTCCCTGTTTCTTTACATAATAGTTTGTGGCCACTTGAGTTTTTAAATCAGGCGTCTCAGCTGTGATCCTGAAGTCTTGTGTCATTTAGCTTTTAGCTGTGTTTATGACTCAACACACCTGGTTCCACCATTACTTGGACTCAAAACTCGGAACTCAATAGCTTACATCAAGTTGACACCGACTTTGTTGCGTCATCTCTGTCATTCATCACAGAATATGTTCTGCTGTTTTCTTGTCTAACTCCCTGTCTGGATAATTTGGTCTCAATCAATTTCTGAGTTTTGCTCATTTTTTTTCCAGAAATACAAAATAAACTATGCCTGCATTGATTTGAATCCTTAATGCTTTCAATAGAGAGATCAGGACATGGATGACAGAGTCTATGTGAACCTGGGGTTAAAAAATAAATAATCCAGCTGATTCAGATGAATTGGACCAGGGACTTTTTATTAAGTTGCAAGACTCCAGCTCTTTATGTCTCTGGTTTGGAGAAACCTCTGCCTTAGATTCAAAGCTTTAGCACCCTCTGTTGGTTTAAATGGATTATTGCAGAAAAGTGGTGTGAATTATTTAATGTAGCCAATAGTTTATTTGTTGTATTATTTGGCTGTTAACTGTCATTTAAAGATAAATATTTTAAAGTAGTCCCAACTCTTGATTTTTTTTTTTTTTTTACATTACATTATGTATTGTTTTGATAATTAAAGTTATAGTGCAGGGTTCAAATATTTTTTATTCAAGAGCCACATTTATTAACATGTAGTAATTATTGTGATTCATCTTTTGGGCATGAGACATAATCATTATGATACAGCAACACAACAATAAATTCTTCTTGATGTTTTTAAACCTCAAAAACATGCAGGTATTCTTTGCTTACGAATAAAAAGGCTTTACTCACTGCACCCAAATCCATAATTAGATGTACACTTTTACATTTGCATCCTTTGTTTATGGGGCTTTTTCTACAGTCAAATGCCATAAAGTACATTACAAAAAAACTGTACAAGATTGTAAAACTTTTCTTACCATCACTTAAATCATTATAAAAAGAAATACCACAATAGAAGATGTGTTTTTGTCATGATGCAGGACAGAAGGATCCAGTATTCAAGGCGAAACAGACAGTGGGATGATTCAAAAGCGGCTATTTAATCTCAGGCGGATCTGTAGCGGCTGCGGATAGGGTATCTATGGCTGGAAGCTCAGGTTAAAGAGAAACACAGGTTGGTGACCATGATAATCTGATGGAGAATGATTATCCATATGTCACTAACCTGGTTTAACAGTTCAGTCCATCTCTATAGAACGAGGTAGGATCCAGTCGGTGGGCAGCCAAGGAGTTGTGGCGGGCAGCGCTCAGGGTTTCCCCGATGCTGCAGTCGCGGAGAACAGGCGGGGGTCTGACCCAGGTCAAAGAACCAGATCAGGACAGGAAGGCTCAGAGGTCCAGGAGTCTGAAGCTCGGTCAGAGATTGCGATGAGGACAGGATCCACAGATAGTTCAGGCAGAACGTTTAGACTGGAACAGGCAGGCGGTTGAGAAGCAGAACAGGTCAGGATATTAGGAACACTACGGAATGCTAATAACCACTCTCTCCACGAGCCAAGACAGGAACAAACGTGCTTGGTGGATGAGAGGCACATCAGGATCAGGAAATCAGAAACAATATGAAACGCTAAAAACCCTCTCACCACTGGGCCCCGAAAATAAGCACTAGAACAAGAACATCAGCATCAATATGGTATATAGAAGCAGGAGCAGGTGGATTAGATAAGCAGTAATAGGAAACCTGGCAGAGTTTGGCAGTTGAATGAAATGAGCAATTAGGCCAGCCATCAGAGCCAAGATCATGACAGTTTTTATCCCTATTTGTTTTTCTCGTTTTTCACATTTTCCCTGTCCCCTTTGTACTTACACGTATGAAATAAGCATATTTGGCTTTCCTCATCCTTTTTTTTTTATATGGAGGACATAGTTGTCAAACATATAATAAATATTTGTCCCATCAAAACGTTCTTCCACCTTAGGGGCACAGTCCACCTTCGGCGATGTTTGGCCGGGTAGTTCAGGTAAGATTTATATTAAACAAATACATTTAGATATATTAAATAAATAATTCCATAATTGCATACATCTAAAATTATTTTTATAATGACAAGATAATAACATTGTAGATATTAGATCACAACACAGATGTGTTTTAATGACAATTAATAGAATTAAGATATTAAAGTTGTAAAATGGTTTTCCTTGGATTTAATAAAGGGGTATTGGATTAAAGAGGGCTAAAGATTTATCAATATTTGTAAAAATAAATTAATACTTTAACTCTGTTTCAGTTCACAGTCGTGTACCAATGTGTTTGACTGTTACTTATAAAATGCAAAGAAAATACATTTTGGTTGCAAAGAGGATGTGAAAAAGTCAAAAATAGTGGGAATAATTTCTTTAAGATTTTCATTCTTCCTTTTTATATGTGCCCTTGTGCTGCATCTATGTATAAACGTTTTTCCTCCTAAATTATCTGATTTGAACAATTTAATGTTCTGTCATGAACTGACAGAACATTAAATTGAACTGAAAGATCAACAGTTGTGCAAAATAAACATGCAAAAACAAACAGCTTGTTATCAAGCAACTGTAAGTTTAATCATCAAAAGCTATGTTATATCTCTTAAACCTTGCAGCCCAAATCCATATTTACTATAATATGTTTGGCCCTGATTCATCATGTTAGTTGACGTTTGAGAGCGTAAATCATCCATTTGTCCTTGAATGGCTTCAAAAGGGCACAGAAACAGGACAGAATAGGCTGCTAGGATACACAGAGGCTTATTGTATTTTTGGATGAGTGGTGTGTATCAATAAAAACCTGCTTATTGTGTGGAGTTTGAAGGAGGGAGCCTGGTTGTTCAAATAGAATAGCTGCTGATAAAAAGAAAAACAGGTTCTGCCTTTTAACAGAAAAAGGAAAACAGCAGGGTATAGTGATGGAGAGAGGAGGAGCAAGACTGTTGTATGGGATTAATGGACAAAACTGTGCGGGAGGAGGGAGGGTGGACGGGCTTCTCCATGGAGCCTGTGGTGGTGGAGGGTGGGGGATGGCTGGGGGAGACCACTGTGGCAGGGGGAGAATAGAGATCGAGAGGGAGGAGAGAAGCTGGTGAAGCTGCAGTTATTCATGAGAGCGGAGCGTGTGTTTTTTTTCCCTCCTTCTCTCTCTTCCTCATGCTGTGGTGATGCACTGCAATGTCTGCAGACAGACAGACAGACAGAAGACAGAGAGGGAAGGAGACAAGCAGGACAAGGCCCAGCCCATCTCACCATTGATCTTCAGGCGATCAAGGTGAGTGTTTTTATTCTTGCATTTTGCAGCCTGCGTGTGTGTGTGGATGCATGTGTGCACGTGTGGCTTTCTCACACACACAAATACACACACCTCTTTTTGTTGCTGTATGTGTACAGACATGAAAGCAGGACAGCCCTCACATATGCACGGTCGTTTTTTGATGCAGTGAGCTTTCTTTTTTCTCTTTTTTTTTTAAATATGAATGTATTTTCATTTGGATGTGTTGCAACAGAACAGCAGGTTGGTAGTTGAGATGCATGTTGATGCAGTGCTGCTTGGTTTTATAAGCTGCAGGAGATGGAAGTGGTGGCAGCCATAGTGTGTGTGTATGCCTGTATGTGCTCATTTTCCTTGTTGTCTGTCCATATATATGTCACTGTGTCACTATGCATTTGTTGATTTCTCCTCACAGACCTGTTATCGCTCTGTGCATCTATGCTGACTCTTCTGTGAAGGTGCCTTTTTTAAAGGGAGGGTGTGTTCTCTGTGACCCTGGTAAAAGTCATTTTCATCACTATTGTCTTTTATCAGAGCCACCCTGATATGCTGAATCTGCACAATCCCGTGGAATTAGGTCAACTCCAATTGCTTTGAGTAATTATATAACATCAGAGAGCTCTGGTGTTTGCAGTATCTCCTCAGAATTAGCCAAACTGGTTGGTACAGCTCTGAGAGGTCTACCTCAGACAACAACATGTTTTGATGTTATGCAGCTTTTAAGTGAATCACTAATTCACTGAGCATTCAATTTAGTGTAGTGTACTCACAAGTTGTTTTGCATGTTATCAGTTGCAGAATAATCTTAACAATTGCTTGTGATCCCAAGTACTTGAATTAAAGACAAATCTACTTAATTTGATTTTTGATTCTATTATGGAAACAGTCTTAAGAATTGATTTAAAGTTTTTATGATATTGTCCCAAGAAGACAATGCAATATTGAACTTGAAATACCAATCAATAACCGTAATCCTTCAGGGGAACTAAAGAATTTAATTCAATTAGAGTTTAAAGAAAGACATTTAAAGTTTAATATATAACATATAATAATGAATCTATTTATTCATAACTATGCCCAAAGAAGTAATTACAATTACCGGTCAAAAAACAAACAAATAACATGTGCAATGCTCAAACTTCCACTTCATAACAAATGCAGAAGTTGTTTGAGTAAGATTTTAAAACAAAACTAAGACGGTCTGGGATGAAATATATTATAGTGAAAGTCTCAATCCATAACTAAATATAACCTTAACTCTTTGCTGATCAAAACTATGATTGGAACTACCAATGCAGAAAAAAGAAGTTTATTTAAAAAAAAGGTTGAGGAACCTTTAAGGAACTATGACATGTTCCGAGACTACTCATAAAAGGTCAAAATATGACATTTAATTATGACACAACCAATCTTTATAAGAAACCAAAGAGCATCTTGGAAAACGAGATTAGATAAAAACAACGAATATGATGCTTCCTTAAAGTTACATACCGAAATTTAATATGAAAGTGAGAAAATATACTCCACTATAGTTATCAGCAAATAGTCTAAATCTTCACCATAAATACAAGTTGTTAGAAGAG